CCCAAAAGGGAAAGAGAAGAATAAACAAGAAAAAGAGAAGATAAGGCAAAGTGCAAATAAGAAAATGCCACCCACATAATCTCAATATTTTTTTGTCCTTAGCATGGTCCACAGTCACCTACCTTATATACAAGTCCATCCAATTTGCTTTCTCTATCCACTTGTGTACATTGCATTCTCACTTTTGCAGCCAATGCAAATATGTATGGTGGTGATACCAAAGCCAAAACAAGAACAACTCTTCAACTGCCAAGCGTATTTCCCACAAAGTTTTATCTCCATCAACTATTCTTGCTAGCTAGTTGTCACGACAATTACTACTCAATTTACAACCCCATATGTCACTAGAAATTCCAAGATGTGAACTTTTTTCTTTTTAATTGTGATATTGATATAAAATATTTATTATTTATAATATAATTTATTTCATGTTTAAGATGAGAATTCAAATTCTAAATAAAAATAAGAGATGAAAGTAAGATAAAGAAATATATACAGGTCCACATACATGATGAAATGTGAACTAGAGTTATTAGGAACGGGATTAACTACAAAATTGAATGGGAAAACGAAACTTAATCTAGCTTAAATTGAAGTTGACCTATGAACTACGTAATTTCCAGAATAAAAAAAAGATGCGAGTTAGCAGTTTCCATAATGTGTAATTAAATGATGATAAACAAAGGGTCCAGATTTCGGATTTGACCAGCACAACAAACCTTCACCACCGCTTCAATCATCAACTCGATACCTCTTCAATACGCTCACCGAGGTCGATTCATCACTGGGCAATGCTGCACTAAGCATCTCAGACGAAGAACACGCTGCCTCATCCTGCACACAATACATTAATCAAAAATTCAAAGATCACACAAAAAACAAACTCTATTTTTATTTATAAAAAAAAATAGCAAGAAGAAAGTTAAAGTTACATGAGAATCGAGGGAGAAAGAGTGGTTTCTGAATCGCTTGAATGCTAAAGCCGCAGCAGAAGGCGGTGACGTGGCGGAACCAGAGGACATGGGAACCACTTGATTATCCCCTTCCTCCTTCTCCTTCTCCTCCTCTTCCTCATCTTCTCCCTCACTATCATCATCATCATCATCATCATCATCATCATCATCATCATCATCATCATCATCATCATCATCATACACATCCACATCCACATCCTGGACGCAGTGAGGGCGGTGTGGTTGACGGCGATTGGCGAGGCAGCGGTGGCAAAACGACACCGTTGGCGTGAGTTTGGTCCCCGAAGCCTTCCACGGCGTGGGCGAGTGGCAGAAGCGGCAGAGAAGGACGCGCGAGTGCTTGGCCACAAGGAAATTGGCGCTGTGCACTTTCTCGTCGCACTCCCAGCATAGCTTAGCCTGGTCCGAGTCGCACAGCATCATCGCCCTCTTCTCACACAAAGCGCATGACTCCTCCATTCTCTATTCTCCAACTCTCCTCTCTCTCGCCTCACTCAAATAAATACCTCCCTCTCATCCCCTATTTTTTTTTTCACCTTTTAATTTTATTTTAAAATATTAATATTAATATCTATGTCGGATTTGTCGCAAGATTTTTTTTCCTTACCGTGAAAAGCTCCATTCCGTTTTCCTTACTAGCATTGAAGTGCCACGTGTCTTAATTCACTTGTGGTTGTGGATGAGATTTTGAGACCAACAATTACTGCACATTAAGGCTAAGATATTTTTCAATTTTACATGTTCTGAGTAGATAAAAAAAATTTGTATATATAAATAGTAGTTGTTTTTGGTGTGGCTTACGTGGTGTAGTGTGGGACCTCAGGCACGTGAATTTGCCTACTTTGAGTTTGAGGTTTCCTACAGAGTCTATGGTGGGACCCCACCCACGTGATAATCACCTGGCCTTCCCTCCAAATAATACTATTGGGTTTCTCAATATTTTAAATTACTTTTGGGGAAAGGCTCCATCACATTTAATTTCTCAATTAGATGCTCTATTCAATTCCATACATCAACATAAATGTTCACTTACCAAACCATTTAACAGACAGATCAATTTTTTTTAAAAATCTTAGTACTATTATTTATACTCTTTTTTATTAGATATATTTTATTAAAATTATAAATTTTATGAATTTCATGTCTTATTTTATAATTTTTTAATTTTCTAATAAATTTTAACTAATAAAAATTGAGTTAATCACCTATATATTATCGGTGTAAAATATTTTAGAAAAATGAAAGTGTAATTTAAATATTTTAAAATTGAGAGTGTAATTTATTGTTTTTCGTTGTTTACACGCTAATTTATATTTGAATTTTATAACACAAACGTGAAATAAATTTGTACATAACCTTTGGTGTACACTAGGGATATCTCCTAATGGGGGTAGTGGCAGAAAAAAAATGGTTTCTAGACGTGGACATTATCACAGAGTATTTTATTCTCTTAAGAAAATTTTGTCCATGAACACAGTTGTAGAATCCAATATCTGTCAACATATCTAAAGAATTGAATTATTTATTAATAAATGTGTGCGTAAGTTGCGTGTGGCAAACAATTTCCTCAACATGTAACTAGTTTAAGTTAGCATGGAAATGTTTACAATTACGATCTATCCATAGGTTCTTATTCGTTAGCTTAGAATCGAAGATTTCTGGTGGATACTTGGTCAAACATAAAAGGGAAGATTTCACGTGGATACACGTGGGTCTCAATTACGTGGCTATGAAATCTCCATGCTGAGGTGTAATCGTGGAGCATCCTCCTAAAGGGGTAGTAAAGATTAAAGAATTCAATATTTCTCAAAAAAAAAAAAAAGTTGTCATATAGTGTTATACACTCTATAATAATAAAAAAATATTACTAAAATATTATTTTTATGTTATTAAATAGATATATACTTATATATATTATATTTATAGTGATAATTTTTGCATGTCATTATATATAATATTTCTTATAATGTTTTAAAGTATATAAAAAAAAAGTGAAATTATAAAGATTAAAAAAATATTTAAATTTAAAATATTTAAAATTAGAAGCACTAGAAAAGAAGGGGGATATGAGTGGATGCAAAGGTTCGTTGAACAGAACCCAAATGAAAGAGGATGTTAATGTTATGGGGTTGTTATGGTTTGAGAGACAAAGTGTGAGTGAGATGTATTAAAATCCAATGAAAAGAAAAGAAAATAATTTTGTGGCGTATATGGGTTTGTCCGTTACTGGCAGTACTATAATGTGGGACACCTTGGTAGAGTCAATGAGGAACCGAAAAAAGAGAAGATGATGAGATGAGTAATTAATAATAGGGTCCACGTTAGATGCTATTTTGTGTCTCATTGGATCGTAGTTGCTGAAACTTCGCACCAATGGTAAAGTGGAGACACGTTAATTTGTTTGGTTTGTTTTATAATTCATAAATATATACAAATTTAAGATCATTATGCAAGTTTTTCTTTTAATGAAATATAGCTAAATGCAGTTTTCATGTTTTTTTTTTCTTCTCAAATTAAAAGGATAATTGTATCTTTTTTTATAAAAGAAATTACACTGCATCTATATTATTTATACGCATCTAAAATATTGGTAAATATTAACTATTTTACGGTAAAGTTTTTAAGTTTTAAAAATGATTTATTAAATTAAAGGTTAAACGAGAGCTCAAAATTGAAATGTAGAAGGAGGGAAGGTACCTGTAATAGACACTCTAATGCTTAACTCAGAATAAGTATGAATATCAATAATAACAATAAATAAATAGTAGTTTTACCTCATTTTATATAACTATTTATACTAATTGTGATGAGTTTGGACTTGGTGGTCCTTGTTCTTTGATTACCAATTAGGTAATACGATTACTAATGACAGATTATTTCTTAATTTCACTTACTTTCTTTATTAATCATGTAATCCATCATACATCAAAGTTTAACCATGTCCTCGTCTCGGACAAACTTGGCCTTCGAGCTTATCAAGCAGATAGAGGTTACCGTTGGATGTAGGCATCATGCTTCTCGGTGGTTGAGATAGTCGAGAAGAACGAAACATAGTGATACCCATTCAAGTTGGTTGGGTCACTTTGAGTCCCAACTTTCGACAGTCGACGTGGCCAAATGAGCTTGTAAGTGTGGAACCTCGAGTGCATAGTGCGATGGTTACGTATCTTGATGGTCGAGGCATGAGTCTTAGCAGTCAGTATGCCTGAGTAGATCGACGAGTTTGGTTTAGGGTTCGATGGCCAAGATGATCAAATAAGTTGTTACATGATAACACGAGGATTGATATGTGGAGTGACATAGGACAACCCTATTCCTTTTCAGTACAATTGTCAGTTTTAAGATATTAAGCAAAATAAATATATAGTTTTTCTTAATCATTTATAAAAAGGAAAATACAAAATATAAGTTTCTTTTTTTAAAAAAAATTGAAAATAACTTATGTTAGAGAAACCAATTTTACATTTTCTAAAAAAAAGTAGTTTATTTTTAACTTATATAAAGTTATCTTATTACTTTTATTTTATTTTCTTCGAAGAACTTATAAAAAAATATCTAGAGATAAGATCAATAAAGAAACATATTTTGTTTTTCACTTAAGTGGTTAGTGCCTAACAAAGAATTAAATATACTGTTAATTTCAATCTAATAAATACAATCCACCAAGATTTTAGACTTTTAGTCAACCTCCCCTCCCATGGTGTGAATTGAACAACTTCGTTATGATAGGTTGTCTAATTAGATGCTTAACAATTCATTATGGTAAAATGAATTGAGCTTATTAGACTATGATAAAGCACATTCAATAAATTCTTAACTTTTTATTTATTTTATTTTATTTTTATAGAACCTGCGCATTGACGGACTCGGACATTTTCTTATTTAATCTTTTAATTGGCTAACAAAAAATTAATAATTAAAAGATAAAAATTTAATAATTAAAAGATAAAAATTTAATAGGATTTATAATTTTTAATAAACTTTTACCACATTATATATATATGTATATATTAATAAAAAAAACTTTTCCACTACAACTTTTATAAAGTAATACATAAGATTAATATATTATTTAAGTATTTTTTACATTAAAAATAATTAAGAATATTGTCACATTGTTATCAATTTTTAATTTTTTTAATATGATAATAAAATATATAAATAATTTATATTTATATTTATTAAATTAAAATAAATATGGAAATAAACATAATTATCACAATAATTATTTAGTTTGATTTTTGAGAAAAGAAAAACTAGCAAAAAAATTAAAAATGTTGGACTGATCCCAAAAGCTCGTAGTCCATATAAAGCCAAACTTAGGTACCAATTAGAAGACGGAATTGGATTCAGGTCTTTTTGGATTAGCTCTTTTATAATTGGTAACCCGTATCAAGTTTGGGTCACGTAACCAACTCTACTATTGGAAGAACAATATTATGCATTCACTCTCTATTCACAATATTAGAGAATAGGAAAATAGAAATTTGGAGAGAAATATACACATACATTCAAATTTTATTAAGGATGTAAAATTAACTTGTATATCGACTAAAACCTTATAAGCTAAAAAGTGAAAAATTGGAAACTTATAAATTAATCGATTGAATTAAAAGTGTATCGTGAGATTAGTTGCTAAGTTATTTGATTAATACAAAATAACATATTTATTTAATAATATATGAGATAGAATAATATATAAGGAAAATAGTTTCTAAATTAAAGAGGATAAAAATAGATTTAATGTAAATTAATGAGGACAAAAAAAAAATTGCGAACTTATAAATTACTTTAATTAATTAATTTATAAAATTAATCTATAAGCTCTTAAAATAAGGTTATGTAATAAACAAATTTATTCTTTTCAAACTAGTTTACAAGTTGATCAAAGAAGTATGGTATAAACTCTTTAAATACCTCGCTGTACACTCGAATTCCCATGTTTAACCATAAAATTAGTTACACTTTATGAACAATTAACTACAATTAACTACAATTAACCAACTTAACATCCTAAATTGATGGTTTCTAAGCTGAAACAGCAACTCAAATGCCTCACTAGTGTGGCATTATTTTTTTTTTATTTTTAATTTTACTGTAGAAATAATATTTTGATAAATAAATAATATAAAAATAATGTTTTAATTAATTTTTTTTATCAAACATTTAGATTGAAACATCTAAAATATCCATTCTTCTACTTTCACTCTCTTCCTTACTGTCAACCAGAGCCTCTCCCTTGGTGCAATAGTGTGTCACAGAGAAAAACATCGCTTCAATGTCATCGACATTCAACTCTGGCAATATGGTTGGATTGGTGAGATTGAGGGAGCACAAGGATAAGGGGAGAAGGAGATTAAAAAAAACAACAAAAAAAAAGTCGCCAGTGACAATTGTTTTCTCTCATTTTTTCAACTGGTTTTGATTTATTTTTTCTTTTCTTTATTGCAAGATGATAGTTCTTTTTGTTGGGTATTGGGCTCCCTTCCTATGTGGAGA